GCGGCGGGCGGCAGCCTGGTGCCCGCGGCGCGCCAGCAGCACTGCACGCAGGTGCGCAGCCGGCGGCTCATGAAGGAGCTGCAGGACATCGCGCGCCTCAGCGACCGCTTCATCTCCGTGGAGCTGGTGGACGAGAGCCTCTTCGACTGGAACGTGAAGCTGCACCAGGTGGACAAGGACTCGGTGCTGTGGCAGGACATGAAGGAGACCAACACCGAGTTCATCCTGCTCAACCTCACCTTCCCCGACAACTTTCCCTTCTCGCCGCCCTTCATGCGGGTGCTCAGCCCGCGCCTGGAGAACGGCTACGTGCTGGACGGCGGCGCCATCTGCATGGAGCTGCTCACGCCGCGCGGCTGGTCCAGCGCCTACACCGTGGAGGCCGTCATGCGCCAGTTCGCCGCCAGCCTGGTCAAGGGCCAGGTAAGCGGAGAGGAGCCTGGGGGCGCGCGGCCCGGGGTCCCACCCGCGTCGGGCTGGCGGCTGGATCCATCCGTCTCGCTCCCGGCCGGGCTGGTCGTGCGCGCTCGGGGCGCTTTCTAAACCTGCCTCCAGCGGGGAGAGGTTCCCAGAGCCTCTGCTTCTTTTCCCTAAGCGTTTTCTTCCTCTCATACTTTCCATCCCGTCTCTCCGGTCCCCTCCCCACCACCACCACCACCTGGGCCGTCTCCACTGGTCTCTCGCTTGCTCACTCTCTCCTGCGGTCCCCCATATCCTCCTCTCCCTTCCCCTCTATTCCTTCCCCCCGCACCCCCTCCTCTGTCACCCCTCTCGCCCTCCCGTCCCCTCTACCTTCTGTCTTTTATCCCCTTCTCCATTCTTCTATCCACCCCTCCTTCGCCCTCCACCATCTCCCCTCTCTCCCCCTCCCTCTCCACCCCTCAGTCTCCCTGACTCTCCTCTCCCTCTCCCCCTAGTCTGCTTCTCCCCAGTACTGTCCCCATAATCTCTGTGAAAGTGGAACTTTACCTGTACCTCGGGATCTAAATGTCCAGCCTAGTTTATCACTCCCCCCCACACACACACACACAAAGGTTTCCTCCCCAGATGTCTCAGGTGGGTGCTCTGCCGGTGGGGTGCTCTGCAGAGGGCCAGCAGCCTGCGGGTGAGTCTGCTGCCCTGCTCTGCTCTCTTTTTAAACAGCATCTAGTGCAAAGGTGAAAATTTTGCTCTTGAGAAATTTCACTGGAGAGGCAGAGGTGTGGTTTGAGTGGTTCCTTAAGTGATAAGGCCAGACTCTGTCAAGGAAATGCCTGGTACCTGCCCCCTTCCAGGACCTGACCTCTGGGGTAGATGTTCAAGATCTTGGTCTCTCTCAGACCTGTTTCTTCCTTTGGTTTCCTCATGCACCCAGGGGTTGAATCCTTTATCAGGGCTAAAGATTTTTAACAAAATACTGAAATAAGGGGTGAGCTTGACACCTGAGTCTTCTTACCTATTGTACCAGGTGGCGGCTTTACCTAAAAGAAATCCCAGAGAACTTGAGAGCAGAAAATGAATGAATCATCTGAAATATGTTCCCACCTGACTGCAGACAAGGGCATAATGGTTTTATCTTCCCACATCATGTGCTCTTGATCACGTTCAAGTTGGTCGATGTTTTCCAGAATCAATATTAAGCCTTACTTAATAAGCATATTTTTATATGGGCCTCTTAGATTTACAAAGAATCATTGTTTTGTTTAGAAGACACTAAGTGACCTCGATTTGATCTTCCTGTGCCAGGCATATCAGAAACCATCAGTCTCTCTCACCTGCCTCTGTCCCTTTCACTGCAGCATCTTTCACACTAATCAAATCATGCTTGTTCTGCCGGCTTCTCTAGAGGTGGAACCCCTGGGATTCCAAGCAGATAGCATTTTAACTCCAGTGGAGAAGGGCACTTAATTCCTGACCGAGGTCTGCTGTGACCAAGGCTAGCCCTGTGACTGTCCTGCTCATCTCTCTCTTCTGGGGTTTCTGTTCTACTTCTGTCTTGAATTGGGATAGGAAGGCTGTAACAGCTCTGGAAAGACATCTTTCACTGGGTGAGGTTTAACGCTGTAACATCAGGGTCCATTATGAATCCTACGGTTCCATCCTGGCTCTGATGTCAGGTGCCTATGATTTGATACAAGCCACAGAGGTGGGAGGGGGTCTTAGTTTATTTTTCAAACAGAATTTATACAAATGATATGGAAGAATATTATGCAGAAATGCCTTTGTATTTGTTTCTTAAATCATTGCTAATCAGAACTCTCTGGAACAGTCTCTGACTTTCTTTCATTCTTCACAGTGAAGATGATTTTGGGGATCAGGGAAGAAGAATGTCTTTTTGCCTTATGGCATCACAGAATTGTAACATTTTAGGTTTGGAAGAGATCCTAGAGGTCGCCTGGGCCACAGCCCTGCATTTCTAAAGATGCAGCAAAGTAAAGATTTCAAGTGAGAAGTAAGGAAGTTTTTTTTTAAGAGATATGTCTCAGTAAATTAGATATTTTCCATGTTGGCATTAATGCTATGAATAATATTTCTATTGGTGCCCATGTACTTCGTTAAAATAGGCAGGTCCTCGTGTATGTATTCCTTTTCTTTGTAGTCAAAATTGAGTGTCTTGCATACGCTTGGCAAGTTAGAGACTTCACTGTTGACAGTGATTATCAACATTTTTATTTATTAATTTCAAAATCTTAATTGAACCCAGCGCCCTCCACTGAGCATCTTGTGTTATATTACCTATACTAAATTCTAGTATGAAAAATATCTGAAATGAAGGTGAGAACTTGGCAACTTTTAAAAATATCAATTCAGTTTCTTTGCCTTTTCCATGCTGACTTCAGCAACCAAAAGAGAGTAATGTAGGATACATGTGAACTATTCAAAATGCCATGTAACAATAGGGGACATGAATAGTCATCAGTGTTTCAGGATTCCGTGCACGACAGGATTCCAATAGTGTTTCAGGCAACTGGGCCTGACTGTGGCCTTCCATCTTTTGTGAATTCCCTACCTACAGACTGTTCATTGCACATACTGTACTTACCAAATTATTTCCATAGTTAAAGGTCAGAGGCTTTGGGAAAGCAATCAAAATATCTGATTAGGTATTCAAAGAGAACGGAGACTGCTACCAAATCAATAATTACTTTAAAAGAATCATTCCATCTAGTTACATTCCTTCATCTGCTGGCACTTCTTTAGGATTCGTTTTCCTTAAGTGACAAAGTAAGAAAAGGCTCGTTTTCCCCTTTCATAACTGCTCAGCTTAACTTTCTGAACTGGGGATATACTAAGTTGATTTTGTTTCTATACTTTTAGAGGAATCGTAAAATACTTTTAAGGGTTTCACTGGTAATATTAAGAAAAGATCTGCTTAAAAGTTTTGTGTACAAAATTAAAAGTTTGGGTTTATGGCTTGATATGATAAATTCAGTCATTTCGTGAGGGCTTTATCTGACTGTTGGCTCATATTATCAAAATCTTATGTGTTGCTTTATGGATTGTGGTTGCTTTAAATTAAATTAACATCGGTTTCTTGTATGATATATTCTATGTAGAGGTAGCAACATACGTGCCTTGCCTGTTGGTCTATTATCTATTACTAAGCCCTCTTTTGACTAAATGGAGACATTTTAGGTAACTCTTTTGGTTCTCTACAATTGGATGAAAATTACTGTGCTTTTAAAATGAACTGCTGAAAATGTTAAAAGTTGAGACCATTATTTATGTCCCTTATCATCTACTGAACCAAAAGAAGACAATCCTTAGCTCCTGTACAGGATTTTTGACAGTCAAAAGCTGAAAGACATAGGTCTTGAAACTAAAGTCAACAAGAGTGTCAACACAGTCCTTGCACCCAGCAGGTGGCCCGAGGTGCAGAAGTCCGTTTGCAGAGATTTCAGAGTATAAACTCTGTAAGCCTGGACAGACTAGCACCGACACTGGAGGGCCCTGCCCGGGAAGAGCCTCGGAGATTGGTGGCTCCTACTCCGGGGTTGGAGCCTGGGACAATTGGATGACTGGACACACACCCTCTTCTTGCAGTTGTGTGAGCAGAAGGATCCCAACAAGCCACTCAAGGGTGCACTAGCTCCGGGTTCTGTTTCCACATCAGTTTACCTCCTGTCTGTCCTCTTTTTAATTAGTTAGACATGGTCAGGGGCAGGGAACCAGATGGCACTTGAAGGACAGTTCCTCACTCCTCCTCTGTCCCCTCACAGCCAACCACATGACCCAGCCAGCACGAAGACGATGCTAGTAACCATGGCAGCAGCAGCAGCACCCATTGACTGTTTGCTCTGTGCCGAGCTCTGGGCAAGCTGAGCACTTAGGCTGTTTCAGCTCACTTGGTTCTATGTCGATAGCCACTGTCCACGTGAGGAACCTGCAGCTCCACGCAGTCAGGTAAATTAACACAACTTCATGTTCGAATCTAGCACTGAGCGGCATGGCTCTGAAAACCAGCCCGCAGCCGTCAGGAGTGGCAAAGTCAAGCCCAGGGCTATCTGAGCACCTGGCTGTGTCCAGGCAGTCGTCTGTTAAGTGTGGCCTGCATGAGAATCGTTTGTGTCCGCAGAGATCAGATACACAGCCAGCTGTCAGCAGAAGATTGAGAAACACAGGACTAAAACATCCTCAGATCTTAGTGTTTGAATTAAAAATTGGTAAGCTATGTTATATTGGCCTGACAACGCTGGTTTCTGGGATTCTGGAATAAAGGAAACTGGGAGATGTCGCCACTTGTTGGAATGTGATGAAAAAGTAAAGGGCTCTGTGGATCAGCTTTGTTTGATGATCAAGTACATCTCTGAGATCGACTTTAGGGCTTAAAGGGTTCTGCCCCATGGGTGTCCCTGAGAATCGTGCACACACACACACACACACACACACACACACAAAGCCCGTCTTCAGAACTTCTTCCAAAGGATGAGGCCTAGAAACAGCCTTTTACTGATGACTGCGAAATCACCAGGTCTTATCAGAAACAGTGATGCAGGTGACAGCCCTATGGGTTCTTAAAGTTTATTGGCTTCTGAACTGTTATAATTGACACAACATTAAAAGCCCCGTATGAGTTTGCTAGGGCTGCAAAGGACCTACAGACTTGGGGGCTTAAACAACAGGCATTTGCTGTCTCACAGCTCTGGAGGCAGAAGTCTGAGATCAAGGTGACGGTAGGGTTGGGTCCTCCGACGGTGTCGGGGAGAATCTGTTCCAGGCCTCTCTCCTGGGCTGTAGACGGCAGTTGTCTCCCTGTCTTCACATGGTCTTCGCTCTGTGCGTGTCTGTCTCCCAATCTCCTCTTCTTGTATGGACACAGGTCATATTGGATAGGGCACCTCCCCCCAATGACCTCAGTTTAACTTGGTTACCTCTGTAAAGACCCTGTCTCCAAATATAGTCACCTTCTGAGGGACTGGCTGTAGGACTCCAACAGATGAATT